AAAGATCGTTAATGTTACTGGGACTTATGTCCTTTTAAAATCTTTTAAAGTTAAAAATTCAAGGGTGCAATTTAGCATCGACAGTCTTGAAGCTTGTCGGAGAGAGAGTGAGAGGGAGTACTACAGCGCATCCAAGATGAACTTCCGTTCTCTTGCTGCGTTCTCGAGAACTACTTCACTTGCAATCGAGTATTTATAATCATCCAAGTCAAGTAAATACCCATTTTCGCGCTGCAGTAAATTGAACTTTCCATCCAATTAATAAACAAGTGATCATCAAGAATATAGTCAAGTTGACGTCTCCTCGTCGGCGTCGACAATTTTCTCTTCTGCAGCTCTCAACTTGATGTCATTGCACGAAAGTGATTGGCGTTGCCTCACACGCAGGCGCGCGCACGACGACTAATTCCATCGGAGCGCGCAACTTGGTAATGCGTTTCTTGCGGCTTGGCGCCATTACGTATTAGCGCGAGTAGGTAAATGCCGCGCGGCAGCCACTGGCAATGCGCCAGAGACTCCACTCACAGGCGCGTACAAAAAGAGAGCGAGACGAAGCCATCGATCCGCCTGAACCGCCCTACAACGATGCGAGCGCGTTCAACAAGAAACGAGCTCTCTCGCGTAACACAGGACACCTTATATCGTCGCGACAGCTGCGGGACATGCCTACCGTCACTCCCGCGCCAAAGCTTATTACGAGTTCACTCCAGTTGCTACCATTGTAGCCTCCTGTTTATGGCTTGTTATGATGATGACATCGATGAAAGCCACAACATCAAACTTTGCAGTCAAACTCAGTACCTTGTAGCTATAGCAGCTTAATATCTAGCATTAATTTCAATTTTTTTTTCTTTTGAGAACTAAAATAAAAATGACTTTTCAATGTTAAACACTTCATTCAAGTTACTTTTATACAAAACTGGCTTAACATAGACCGTATTCAAGGTAAAAAAGCGATCTAGCATATTTTGTGTTTTGAGTGCCGGAATAAAAAAAGGCGAAATTATGCAAGGGTATATTAAACGAAAAATATCGTTACAGGAACTGTAGAATATTATAATTCTCGGCTTGCTAATTAAAATGTGTACAGCCGAAAAAAAATTGAGAAAAAAAAAGAGAAAGAGATACGCGTGACGCATGAAAAGCGTAACTCGGTTCACATAAATTTGTTATTCTCCAACGTAAGTTTACCTCCGAGTTCCAACTTCAGCGTGTGCCACCTTTTTCTACCACGCCAGTGAGTAAATTTTCCGCTGAACTCCGGCTCTAGTTTTCCAAGCCAACCACCGAGCCAACTAGAATATTTGTGTTTATTTGAAAGACAATTTCTTCTTACAAGCGTATTAAGCGAAACTTATCATGATTCCAATTAAAACATCGCCACAGAAACGAATAACGAAAGAAAGAGCAAAACATTAATACAGCGCCGTCCTACTTTTCGCGCGTACTCTCAAACACGACTATCCAATTATTGAAGCCGACGGCAGGCGCCAAAATTAATTACAACGAAACAACCCTTGATTCAAAACCAGATCTCGTTAGGAAGAGACGTCCCACGCCCGTGACTCGCCAACGTGTAACGGGAACAACGAGAGAAGATGAGGCCGCGAGCACGTATACGCTCGCGTGAGCACGCAGTGCCAGCTGTCACAGTGCTCGGTGCAAAAGCGCGATCCTAAGTATCGGATCGCAGGCAAACAGAGCTCCAGCTAATAAGCGTTAATACGAAGGTCTGTTAATTAACCTGGACAAGCGTAAGTAAAACAGACACTCGCGTACGTTCTCTACACTGCTCCAACCATGTATTAAGCATAAGTTACGCAATAATCCCGCTTTCAGAATGCATTTTTAAAAATCCATCGGAATGCTACAATTAGAAAGCATCCGGATCTGAAAAAATTCAAGGCATGTCACTAGTGAAATATTTGACTGCTAAAAATATTCCACCCAACGTTCTGTTACTCTAAAAGAATGCGGTCAATTTGCGTGTCTCCTCCCGAAAACTTCAATAAATATGAGCAACCGTAGAAAAAAATATTCGAGGCGGAAAAAGCGAGTCTCGCGGCAAAACTAGCTTTCGGTTAAAAAAAAGAGAGATAGAGAATTAAACCCACACACACTTTGTTGCAATTCAGACTGTTCGCGATAAGCTCGTAGCTTGTGTGCGCGGCTGTTTCAATGCGAGTCTGTAGGCGCGCGTGCTGGTGTCAATGTGTCACAGGGAAACGCGTCGCATAAACTAGAGCGTCGCGAAAAGAAAAAAAAATGCCTGTGAAATACGCACGATGAGTAAGTAAACTCAGTTAGAATAGCAACGCGGCGTGTGTTTTACGTAATTTTGCCTTTTAATTTTAAACGTGAAACAGTTGTTTGATATTCGTTTCGCGATTCGTAGTATTTATGAACATGAAGCAGACAAATCTTTCATTTGAATTTCGTAAACATATACCTTTTTCCTGCTCGGCAATTTCATCATATTCACATACGCATATTCGACAATTTCATTATAGCACGCACCGGCGCAACTCGTCAAAGGCCTGTTTAAAGGTGTTGAACTGGCGTACAAGTTTTCCAAGTAAAGTTGAATGATTTATCGATTAGTATTTAACATTCAGTCGGCAACACGTCAATGTCTGCTGTAAAAGTCAATTCAGCATCGATTAAACATTGGAGCTCGTTTACTCAGTTGCGCACAATAATCATAATTACAAGTTCACAGTTACGTGACCAAATGAAGATGATATTCACGTATTCTATGCATAAAAGCGCTCGAAGCTGAGAGAAGCAAACGTATATGGCTTAGATTCAGATGTACATTGCAGGAGAGTATGAGTGAGGAGCGAGTCATCCGGCTCGGATTTCACTTTGATATCACGCCTGCTCTCCATTACAGACGGACAGACGCGTGACATCTAATCTGTATGCGCGCTCTCATGCCCGTGCACTCACGATATACCATTACTCGATACGCGTCGCTCATATGGACACCTGTATTGCTTGGGATCGTAGTGCATTATGCAATGCGAGAAACGTGCAATGACATAATCATTCTCTCTCCCTCTCTCTCTTTCTCTCTCTCTCTCTCTCTCTCTCTCTCTCTCTACCTTGAACCGTGCCACTGTTCTTGTTGAATAATTTACTGACACATGTGTATGGTGATAAAGGCCGCTTTGCCGGGCTGTTACCCTCGTCTATTCCTTCTTATATATACCATCCTCTGCGGTCTGGCCTGTGTAGAGACATTATACGACGACTTATGGAGTATCAACTTTAAATCGACGACTATTGAACAACGTCTTTCGAAAATTCATAGTTTTTGTTACGTCTTCAATGTTTTGCTGCTTCTCAAATGAATAGAGTAATAAAAAGTCAACATTTCCCCATTTGTCTATGTGTAAGAATGAGAGAAAGTCGCTATGTTATCTCATTCAAAATTTAAGATTTTAAGAGATCAAAGTTTTTACCTATAAATTTTCATTCGGCCGTACACTCATATTGTAATTGAATCAATGTTTCACTTTCCATGCTCCAGAATTCTGCGTAACATTATTAAACCCAATTTTTTGGTTTCCATATTTCGTTATGGAAACAGGAATTACACTATAGCTGTTCAGTTGGAGTTCAAATTTCTTTTTTAGTTTTTATTTTATTCCTTTTGACAATGAAAAAGGGAAACATTAACTTTTATCGTACTCATAAAAATTTTATCGTATTGTTGGAATTGGAAAATACTTAACAATTAAAAATTATGACCTAATCGGCTTTTCGAGACGGATTTTAACTCACGACGTGTATACAAATGGCCGACGATTAACTTTTGTCAAAGGATTTATCAAAGAGTTTCAGCGCTCAGTGTACAAGAATGTAATTAAAGCTCCCGGCTAGATTATGGGGCAAGAAAACAGAAGGATGAGCGTGAGTATTCGATCTGTATCAAGTTAAGTTTAATAGTCAAAAGTGGAAAGATCGGAATCTCCATGGGGTGATTAACGATGCGAATAAGCTTCATGATAGTCATCGCAACAAAAGCATTGTGCTCTCTCTCTCTCCCTCACTTTCGACACTCGCGTTAGCGTTTGATACGCGGAATCGCGTGTTTAGCGTATGTGCTACGCCAAGTTTGATTAAGTTGTAGAGAATCACCGAGTAGTGCGCCACTCCTCCCGCGTGTTGGCCTCCAAACAGATACAGCTACAAGTTAATTAAACCTCTCCCCCCTTCGCTTGCTCGTACTAACATGTAGCGCATCCATTGACTTTTATTTCATTTCGATGTTTTGTGGCTCAATCACAAACAACTATATGCTACACGCGCTTACCGATCAATAAACTGTTCTCTCTCTATCTCTATATCTCCCGCGAAACGCGTGTACCTTTCGCCGGCAGCCCTTCTGCAACGTCTGACTGTGACAAACCAATTTTCAGACATCAATCTGTTTCGCTTTGAGCATATGTATGTGTGTGCGGGTACTTGAAATATAAGAAATAACAACCTCGCTGAAAATCCCGTGGTTATTTGAGACTCGATGGCCCTCGCGTGCTCAGCAATACGATGAACTCTGGCAAATAACTCCTCGTAACGAGGCCTCTCTAGTCTCCTGGAATCTGTTTTGTTGCTTTTTTTAGCTTATTGTTCGTTTGCTTTCATAAGACAATATCGATGAAAGCAATACGAAATGAAACCGGAAAAGCTGAGGTATTTTTCAATATTGACTAATCTAACTTACTCACATCGACAGAATGTATTCGAAGCTCGCTGCGATTACTGGTATGTCTTGAAATTTCGTTATCAAGAAAATAGAATGCGCCTTGTCACGCACATTATTATGAAAATTTATTAAAGGATGCAAATAAGGCTGTCAGTTAGTAATGACTCTGTGTGCCAGGTACGAAGCTCGTGAGAGTGAAAAGTGAAAGCAGAGTAAATTAGCGGAGATAGCTTCGGTCTGTCAATCACACATTCCGACTTGAGCTAAACATTGAATGGCATTGTCGTTGCAGGAAGCGGCGAGGCGTGGCTGAAGAGCGAGAAACACGCAGATCTGGGCAGTGAGATCCAACTACCTTGCATACTCAAGCTGCCCCAGTGCATCGGTCTGCACAGCATTAAATGGTACCAAGGCAACGAGCGCATCTTCGTGTACAGTGCCGAAGGAGCCGAAACTCTTGCTACCGACGAAGTCGCCTCTAGGTATGTTCTGTAATACGCTAGAACACACTCATGTTATGCTCCTCAGTTCCTCCTAGTTCCCGTTGGAACCTCGGATGCTCGGACGCGCACCTCGTCAACGTTATTTATATGACGAGGTCGTTAATATAACTCACTGTCAAAAAATTGTTAATTAAAACTTCGATTGTCAAAGAGCCGCAGGCTCAGGTAGAGAATCTCATAAGGGTTTATTAATTGAGATGAGCGACACGAGCGTCGGCGGTTTTCGCTTGATAATAAACCAAGTTTTGTATACGCGCCCCCTAGCCTTTCTATACCGTGTACATGCCTACGAGCCTTGCGAAATTGTTAAGATTATCAGGTTAGTTTCAAACTCGTGACAGTTAAGTTAATTTTACGAATAACTGATCATCGGAACTGTGTTTTTATATATTTTTTATCTTTCGCCCATGTCAAACTGTATTTTCAAACAATATTTTCCAAAATTGAGATTCCAGAATATGTTTACAATTGTTCAAGACAAGCCGTAGAGCTGCTTTCAATTTATCTGAAATAAATTTTTGAAACTTACTGTATTGACAAAAGATATTAAACAAGAATTCGTTTACACTCGAGCTTTCATTATTGACGTATAGATAGAGATAGAGATTTATCTCGAGTACATATTTTTTTCAAATGTTTTATTTACAAACATAAACAAAAACGCGATCTTTTCTGTATTTATTGAAAAATATCATTATCAATATATCAAACAGAATTGAACGAAGAATGTGGTTTAAAAATATTTACCTTAAACAACTTATTTAAATACTAATTAATTCTAAAATGATATTGAGATCAATTGAAATAAAAGTGTATTCTCAGTATGCTTCATATCAACGTTATAAATATTGGTCCAACATTTATCTATGCAATAAGTTCACTGCATATCGAGTGTTCAATGGAATAATAACAAAATAGTTTGCAATAACAAAATAGTTGTACGCCAAACAAAACAAAAGAACATAGCTCACACTGCACTACTAGTTTTAGGATGATTGCCAAACCGACAGCTCTGAACAAATTCGACAGAGGGAGAGAGAAAGAGAGAAAGAGAGAGAGAGAGGGAGAGAGAGAGAGAGAGAGAGAGAGAGAGAGAGAGAGAGAGAGAGAGAGAGAGAGAGAACTGACCATCGGTCATAGCCGCAAGAAACGTCATAGCCGAATGAATCTGTATGGGTACACACGTGCGCGCGCGCGCGCGCTGGCATGTTTGATTTGTAATTAGTATTAAACGCCACGAGCACAAGCGCCACGCGAAACGTAGATATTATTTGGAGACCACACTCACGAAGGACGCTGGCTGTCGTCCAGCATTTTCGAATACACGAAAGTCAATCGACGTCACGCTGTTGTTTACTCCCTCGCCAATATGACGGATACGCATGTTATCGGCTCTCATATTTTACCTGCTGCTTTCTTTTTGTTTCCGTTTCAATGAACTTACGGCTACATTCACGAGGTTTGTGCGCACGCTACTCCGAGTAATTTACGTCAATGAAAGCTTTTTTTATCCCGTTGCCGCGTGGACGGGGAAAGAGGGAGAAACAGAATTTACGAACCTACTTCGCGCTAACTTTCCTTTTTTTACTTCTCGGCTATAAGAATGAAACACGGTAAAGATATAAGCCAGCCGCGTTAAAAGTTATATCGGGTATGTACGTAAAGTGACAGGGATTGATCAATAGTCGATAAGTGAAGAATTACATATTCTTTGGCGAATATAAGCCTTTGAGAGGTCAGCCGCAAAATATAATTTTTCAAGAGCTCAATAGAACCTTAAGTTGAAAAGTGGATAAAGCTGCTTGAAAAAAGATAAAGTGAAATACGAATAATGCATAGGCAGTATATCGACGCCGCACTTTCTTTCGGTTAAGCTCGACCGCTCAATGACGTTAATGGGTTGCTGCTGCTACTGCTATTGCTACCAGCAACGCTACGTTGAAACAATGGGGAGTAGAGGACTGCGTTCAGGATTTAAACAGCTATAAATGTATCGCTTAAATCGCTTTAAGCTTCGGCCCAATGAAATTCTGCTAAGGTTTTTATTGCTTAGGCAAAACTTTATTTACTTATGATCATGATTCACCACCAGAAAGCTTCATTTTTCACAAAAATGTCTGACTGAAAACTTGACTGAAGATGAATCATTTGAAATTACGCGACTCGTTAGTCATAGCATGGCAATCGTATAAATTCAAAGCTGCCTCCCGTTCCCTCTTGAGTTGGCTTAATGAGGAAATACGAAGATAGAGAGAGAGAGAGAGAGAGAGAGAGAGAGAGAGAGAGAGACAGAGAGAGAGTGAGAGAGCGCTGCACGTAAGCCTATATTGAGCAAGATTTATTCATGTCGTAGTGGCCTAATGCAAAGTTTGACGTCCTCTTTGCCGCCATTATCGTGGCTGTCCAACAGTTATGCCTTTCGCGTGTAACAAGATTCTCGCACAAGCTTCATGCATACTATGATTCACAACCGTGACGAAAATGTTACTGCTACCGTTATTTGCGGTTCTTTTTTATAGACTCGTCCGACTAAGCGTAGAGTCGTTCTACTGTACTGAAATGTAGATATGCGGAAGCCAATCAATAACAAGTTTCGATTGTTTTCAACTAGCACTCAGCGCGAATGGTTCAGTTCATTGTTAACTTTCCTATCTAACAAAACGAAAATGAAAGCGAGAGAGAGAGAGAGAGAGAGAGAGAGAGAGATAGATAGAGAGAAAAAGAAAACGAAAAACAATGACATCTGCAATTCAATGCTATAGATATAGAATTTCAGGGAGGCGTTGAGGCTGCAACTGTTATCGCGAGTGAGAGGGGTTTCGTATCGTCAAGACGCGAGTATAAAGTGGCGCAGCTGTGCCGCGAGGCTAAATACCTCGAGGCTTCACAATTTTCAGACAATCTGACCTGAAATGGAGTGTGCGCTCGAGCCCATCGATTCGCTCCTCTCTCTCTCTCTCTCTCTCACTCTCCTGTGTGCGCGCAAACGTTTTCCCTCGCTAGAACGTGCTCATTGCCCTCCAGGCGATTGCCGATCCTCTCGCTTTCTCGCTCTGTGCTTCGCTTTACACGCGAGCGCGGGCACACACGTACATACACACACATCCAGTAACACAGTGAGAGAGAAAGAGGTTGTATTCGACGTCTAGTGCTGACAAAGAAGGATTGAACATGTGAAGAAGACAACGAGAAATCGGAAATTGAATGCATAAGCAGTGCAGGTTTACGCGAGAGCGTCGCTTCGAGACCAGGACTATGCTAAATTGTAAATGAATGAAAACGGATTTCAATACTTCTCGTTTAATAGCTTTGAAAAAAAAACTTAAAAGTCGCGAAATAACAAAACAAAACCATCTTCGATCAATTTACGCAATAATTGAATAAGGAAACAAATTATAAACCATACTAAATAACTGTTATAAAAAACTTCTGTGGGGAAAAAACCGTTATATTACAAATAAACTTAATTTAACAAAAGAACTAGCTTTCAAGAGTAAAGTGCCTGAACGGTACCTAAAAACATGTTATGACGTTTCCGCTCTGCCGCGTGCATCTCGAATTTTCCAGCTTGCCTCTCTGCTCACCGCTACTGCGGGATCGGACCTTTACGCGAGCCTAATTCGTCGACGCTTCTGCTCTCCTGCTCCTGCATTCTAGCTTGCACTTCGCTCGGCTGCCTATCGGCTAAGGCTTAACCATGTGCTAACTCTTTCCGTATATAGGAGCCCGACAGTCCGATAGCCATGTGCATACCGTGGGCATTACAGTCTCCAGGACTAACCCCGGATCTGTACTTGACGACAGGATAACGATGACGCACGATGAGCTCGTCTATGTCAATGGGTTGAACTCAGAACAACGAGATGCATTGGCACACACGCTGATACAGTCGCATGTACAATATGCCACAGCACGTTATGCGATCAATTGCAGTTGCATTTCACAGTACTCGCTTATTCCTTCAATATACGCATCTTGTTTCCTTGAACTTACGTTTACAAGTTTTTTTTTGGCTAGAATTATGAGTGTGTCAACTTCGATCCTCTCAAATTATATTGTGTTTGGTACGCTGCCTTTTTCCGATAAGGTATCGAAATCTCACGTTTATGACTAATGATTCTCGTGTTTTGATATTCAAACGGTTCAAACACCTAATTGTGCAACTTTTCACCAACAATGATTTTAAATATCTGTCATTTCACTTATCAAATATTGTTCGAACAATAATCTGCTTTCACTTGTTAATTATTATTCAAATACTTTAGCAACACCATTTCGTATATTCATTCATTATACCGGCAGCATTTATTCATGTAAAAGCTGTGGATTATAATATTGATATTATATACTATGCAATCCGATTAAGCAAAGAGTAACATTTCATTAATCAGATTAAACATCAAGAATATGTTATTCAAGTTATTTGGTATATGCGGTATAATATGCGAAGGAAAATTTTATCAGATCTCTAGATTGGTATTTAAAAATTAACAACATATGTAAGCGAAAACATTAGTTTAAATAATATAAATTTTAATGTCGTCGTCTTCGAGCTGAAAGCAACAGAAGTTTGCTTGGGAACTGATTGGAAAAGAATGTTGAAGTAGGTATAGAGTTGGCGAGCAAATGCAAGTAATTTTGGTAAACACGCCGACGCGAGAAGATAAATAGAAAGAAAGAAGGCGGCCAAGAGTTAGATAAAGCTGTGGAGAAAAATCAAAGCGAGGAGCGAAGGAAATACAGTTGGCGCGAGCAAGGGAAGGTCGAAGGAGAGAAGACAAACGGAAAAAAAGTAGCGCGGTAAAGCAACGGTCGTCTAAAATGCGCGCGCGGCACGACGAAATACTCTCAGCGGGGCTCCCCGGAACTTTGGAAAGATATCCAATGAAAAGCTCTGGAGACTTTCCTTACCTCCGGTTTTCTTTCTCATTCTTCTTATATCTATACTTCTTCCTTTCTCACTCTTGCCCGGTACTGCACTCATAACGAGCCACCGCGCTGCCGCCAAAGTTGGATCTTTCATTTCGAGATCGTCTCTCTCTCTCTCTCTCCATCTCCGACAGCAAGTTGCTTCGTTATCGAGAGACAGGGCGGGAGAGGCAAGAGCAATTAACGATTAATGCGCAGCCGGCACGACGAGGATAAAAAGCTTGTGTACTTTCCACCATGCTTTCCCGTGTCCTTGCCTAACTTTTCACTTAGCACTACGATCCACTCTTGCTATATCCCATGCGCCACGGGTAAACCTAATCGATTATCTTTTTTTTTCTTTCAATCAATTTCCAGGATGTCGATGATCGTACCGAAAGACAACGTGACCAAGTCGTACTTGAAGATCACCAATTTGACACTCGATGACGAGGCGCTGTACAAATGCGAGGTGACATACTTAGCCGTCAATAGAGAATGCAACAATGTGCAACACATCACTCTCAACGTCACTGGTAACGTAATACATTTTCATTACCTCTGTCTTTATTTCACTACCTCTGTATTTACTCTCCGAGAAAAGCATCATTCTCTCGCGAGCATGAAATTTATTTCAGTCTTTCGAATAGCTTCGCTGGTGGCAGCTCAAATGTTATTTTGCTTTTATTCGCGCGTTTATCTTGGCCAGACACATGCGAAAAAGTGTTTACGGAAAAGGGACATTCCTTTGGAAATTTTACGCGAGCTCCTTCCTTGTCCGATAATGCCCTGTGGCTTTTCGGTAAGCAACGCGCCCCCTCCCCCCAGCATCACTTTCAACGTTTAACAAGCGTGCGCGCAGGTGCGACGGTTCAATCGTACAATTAGTCGAGCAATTGTTTTTGCGTGGAAAATAGCCGCGACGACGAAACAGCAACGTAGCTTGAAGCGAATTTCAACGAGAACAAGAGAACGAGGATAGCGCTCTTCACTTTACTCGTCGCCGGAGCTAACAAATGTCCTTTTCTCCTCTCGTCCATTCTTATTCTCGTACTCGACGACGTTCCAGCGGGGGCGCGTGTTAAATTAAAAATTGAAAGTGGTTTAGAATTAAATGACATTTTAGTGCTTTTCCAACGACTCTCCAACATTTTTTCGCCTTTCTCTCTCACGCACACTTTTTTTTGTTAGCTTCGTTAGACTTTTTAGCGCCAACTTTTTCCTCGCTCGTTTAGCGTGCCTCCCATCTGCTAACCAAGTTATTTTTTATTCATTAAAACTGCGGTTTGCACGCTCATTAGTATTTCTTCGAATTGAAACTAAGCTGTAACTACTTGAGTACTACGTATGCTTCACTTTCCTGAACTCTACTAGGTAGTATTAAAACGATATGCGGAAAGGTAATTTTTTACTATCCAATGTTCTAATTAAATGTTTTGAAAGATAGTGCACTGTATTAACATGCTTCGTTTGTCTAATTTGTAAAAATCTCTATTAAAATAATTGCTTTGTGCCAAGCTTATCATTAAAATTTAAACACTAGAATCCATCACGCTTAATTTTATCACAAGTAATTTTCCCATAATCTTTTAATAATTTGTTCGTGATTGGTCAAATCTCATCAGAGCAATGTAAGTTCGCTGAAAAAAAATTATTATACGTAAACAAGAACATTGACAATAAAAAAAAATTTCATCGGCAAAGAGAGAATTATTTCACACTTTGAACATCTGTATTTAGCTCAGTACTTGCCACTTAAATATTGTTTCGATGCGCTTGCTCAAGTAGCGTTAATTGACGCTGCTTATATATATAGCACAAGTAAGAAAGAATTCGTCTGTCCACGTTGAGGAGTCTTGGAAAATTCCTTCATCCTTTCCTTGGAGACAAAGTTTTTTCCGCGCCGGGATAAGACCTTATACATCTGCCGGGGATAAGGGCGCTTTATCGCTAAAAAGTGTACGCTACTTTTACGCTTTTTACCACTTCTTTTTTTTCTCTTCTTCTTCTGCTTCTTCTACTCCCTCGTTCCCTTGCCTTCTTTTTCTGCGTTACTTGAACTTTTTAAGTAATTTTAATCCCCTCGCTGGAGGCAAAGCTTTTAAATGGTGATTCATGATAACAGTAATTGAATGAGTTATTTATTTATTTCCGCAAGCTAAATTTACTTGCGAAAATCTGCGTCTCTTGGCAAAAATTTTATAGATACCTTCTATAGAACTATTTATCGTCTGAATTAATTTATTTTTGCTAGATCGAAAATAAAGTTGGCATTATAGCGCGTTAGTATAGAAATATGTGTTTGAATTTTACTTTTGAATGATCAATCAGTATAGCCAAAAATTAGATGTGCGAAACATGTTACAAATAGAAGTTAATTGATGAGAACAATGAGAACATTTTCCTCGGGGAATAATGGTAGGATAATTTGCCTGAGAAGAGACAATTCGACACAATTAAGGAAGCCAAGCCATGAAAGCTTTGTGATTTTCAAGCACCTTTGTACGAAGCGTCTATTGGAAAATTCATCAGCCGCAGCAATCACGACGTATTCGCTCGACAAATCCATTTCACATGCATCAAACGGAAAAGTCGTTTGATTAAAGATAGCAATTGATTCGCCGAGATTTCTCCGAAAAAATCTCTGGTAGTTAGATTCTGATTTGATTGATATTTTTCGCATATAGACGTGAAATGTAGAACTTTTTTCAGGAAGTAAATCGAATAAACAAACACGCATTCGCGTTTGAACATCAAAGAACTTTATTAAAATGTTGTTTGAATCAACTAAATACTTTAAAAAATACAATTATATAGAAAGTCTCCCGTAAACTTTGACATAAGAAATGATCATTTATAACGATTTTGTTTACATCACAAAATTTCAAAGATAATGTATCATTGAAATTCATTACTGTTTCACGTTGAAACAATAATCTTTTCTAAACTTGAGCATAATCATGAAATAACAGAGAAAGTTTACGAGAACTTGTCAGACCAACTGCACTCGAGTCGCTCTACTTATACTTTGGCAAAGGCACTTGCCATGTTATTTTATTAAGTTGAAATGCATTGTTGGCCAAGTTTAGGCCCAAGCAATGCATTTCGTCGTCAAACAATGTTCCTGAATTGCGAACGTCGCCGACGGCATCGTCGTTCCCAAACTCTACATCACAGTGCCAAACTTACTCATCTCTCTCTCACTCTCTTTCTCTTTCTGTTCATTTTCTATTTTATTTTATTTTATTTTAGTTTTTATGTTTTATTCTTCACGGTTAGCTTTCCCATCTCGCGTCTTCGACGAAATTATAAAACGAGTTGAATTGAGCTCGATAATCTTTAAATGTATTGCTACATCACTCATCAAGAAATAAGTTTCAGCCCTTTGCACGTGTTACAGTTGTTCGAAACGACTTAGCGTTCAATCTACCATACTCTATGTTGGTGTGACTGCCTCTTACGAGAAAAACCAATAGAGCGAAGACTTTCTAGTTATTGAATTACGCGTCAATTAAGTAAGCAAGTCGATATTACAGACAATGCAGCTTAGCAAAAAATTCTTTGCGCTCTCTCATCTTTTCAAAGTACCATCGTTTGCATCAAGTATAGGGTTTCACAATTATTGCTGCATCTTTGAAAGAGTATCGTAACTTTCGCCGTATTCCATCCTTTACAAATAATGATTTTTATATTCGTATTTGTTATTATCGTTAAAAGATTTTAACATTCCAATTTACCATTTATATTGCAAATAAATTATAAATATACGAATTTTTTTTCATCTTATTTTGAAATACAGTTTTAACGTTTTCATCTTAGATTTGATTAGTGATGCATTTTAACTCTCTAGTGTATCTTTAAAACTTTTCTACTGTTTATTTTTCAAGTATAAAAAAGTTTTGAAAGAATTTGCCTTCAAAATTCACGGCGTAGCATATCTATTTTTCAGTGTCGGCTATCACAAACTCATTTATACGTTAGTCAACAACTGATGTACAAGATTATCTCTTTGTCAGATAAAAAAAAAGTATCTTTCTAAAGTGTAGGCCAAGAAAAAAAAGAAGAAATGTGTAAATACATCAATTTCATAAACTGCGTCGTTGGAATTTTAACGAAGTGACCCCAAGTCGCACTGCCAGCAAATACGCTCGTTGGCTTTCATTCGTGCGGCAAGGGAGGAGGTCAACACAATTTACGTAAACTTCTTTTTTCTTTTCCTTCTTCTCGGATGCATATAAATGCCATGCGACGCGGTTACGGTGGTGCTCGCAAAGAGCCAAAGAATACCGAAGATAATTCTGCAAGCTTGTGAAAAGCTATAATTAATTCTTGGGCGGCCGAGAAAAAAAATTTCCTTTGTTAATTAAATGCCAGAAGTTAGTTCAATGCGACGAGCGTGTTTATTAATTTTCTAATTAGAATGATACGCCGGAATTTGTCGCCCTCTCGTAGTCGAGATCTCATTCACCCACACTGCCTTTGAAGCTCAACGTATGATATTATATTTCTTTGGTGGGAGATTATCGTAGGAGCTTGCTTTATATGTACAACGAGCGAGCCAGTAAGTGTGGCGGTGTAACGCGCGCAGTTTCGAATCTATGGCGCGTGCTACTGTAACTAACCATAACACAGCGTTACCTAGAATTACTGGTTTACTTAGTCCTAATGACGTTATATGATTCATCGTTTGCCGGCCAATATAGACCAGCTGCTGAGGGTATGTGTTTGCATTATCCTTGGTCTTGTGTTTATCGTGGGCGTGCTAGCCATGGAGCTTGCTTACCAGTTTTCGGTTTTCCCCTGTGTGAGCTTATCTATAGATTACGATAATCCATTTTACTTCAAATAAATCGCACGATGGCGAATTAAAAATAACGCGCTAATACATGATTCATAATCTGGGAATACTCGTTGTATATCTTTCACGTTGTCGTCTCGCTTTATTCAGCCGAAACGTACTGTAAAAACAGCGAACCAAACGTAAAAAAGTTGTTTTTGCTTACCGCGCATTGTCCCCCTCCAATCTTAATTATTTTATGCTCGGATATTGGCTATCAACGAACATGCGAAACAAATCGATTGCCTCGCTTCTTTTTATTTTGTATCTTCCATCTCGCCTTTCGCCTATAGATTTTATTTTTTTCCATCACTCTTTACTTTGATTTTCTCGCGCACATATATATATATACATATATATAACCAACAAAAAAATAACGCATGGTGCGCCCCGTTAAACGTGCCTCTCGGAAATCGGTGATTGGATATCAACTATAAATCCAGTCGGAATTTATCTCAGCTTCGAAATCTTCATTCGTGCGAGCTTTCCAACGTTACATTTTTTCTTCCGTTCGTTAGTTTCGAAACACAAATCAATCGGGTTCGAGTTATCTTGAACCTATTACTCTTAACGAGAATAGGAAACAAACAAGAATGCAACAGTGAAACATAAATTGGAAAAAGAGATCCTGCATTTACCATTGAAATTTTTGATTGAGCAAACTATAATCTTCAGTCCATATCGTCACTTGATTTGGGT